AAATATTATGCCTATTGAAATAGAGGTAATATTGGGAAAATAATTTTTTTATCCGTATTCCTGACACCTTCCTTAGACATATGCTAGGATTACAATCACACGTTCAAAAATTATGAAGTTTGGAACACCAGTGAACATTTTTGCTGATTGTCTTCCAAAAAGTATCAACTAAGCCACACTTTCTTTCATCATCATTTCAAGAGCTGTCTTACTTGAACGGAGTATTTTCAGGTTCTAGCATTGCTTTGTTTCGAAGAATGGCTGGACCAGCTCCCACAGAAAGGTCAGTGGGATACGTGTTGACATAGTTAGGGGGTGGCCCTTCAAACTGATCCATTTTCTCTTGCAGGATCTGTTCCCAGTTCTCCAAGTTTTTAATCACAGCAATGCCTAACGGTGAGGTTACAGGCAGCTCTAAAAAAGTGATAAAATATATTGCTTTATGTTGAAAAAAACAGACCATATTTACAAAATATTTACAAAATTTTCAAAATACATATTTACATAAATCCATAGTCTTAGAGCCAAGGCTTCTAAAAATACAAATACATATCTAAAACCGTTCATTTCACACCATTTGGATTCTTCATGCTTTCAACAAACAGAAAGCCATCTCTCTAATGGAAGATAAGAAAATGTCTAGCTTCTCCAGTCTAATTTCCTGTTCTTCCAACCTTCTAGGTAGAGAGTGATCCTGGCCATAAATTAAAACCACAGAATGAAGCCTCAAATACACAAAACCTCATAAAATCTCCTAGCACATTATTAACATTTTTTTAAGTACCAAATGGTCTTTCATATAAATTTCATACAGGAAAATTTGATAGCAATTTATTTAAACAACATTAAGTTTTCAAATCCAAACTCACCAGAAAATTCCAATCCAGCAATGGGAAAAAAGTTCTTGACATTGTGAATGACTAGCTTAACCATTGTCAAATGTAGAAGAGCCCAGCTGTTCAGAAGGGGCAGAGGGGGGGAAAAAATCTCCTTAATTAAAACATATTATGTTCATTATTTACTTTTTTTTTTTAAAAAAAACTGTAAGATTGAAATATTAAATGTACAGAGAATAGTAAAATTACCACAGAGCTAAACAAAAGCCAGATACAACAAACATATATCAAGTTCTACTAATGTGGGTTCTTTGCATTGTGCATATCCATCTCTCATTAGTAAAGGAGATGGATAGTGTAGAACAACAAAGCAATGATTCTCTCTACAACTCCGGGCTGGGTCACTAAAGGAGTAGAGGAGAAGGAAAAGGTCCAACCCAGAGGAAAAGAAAGTATTCATATTTTACTATCCACATAGAATTCTTTGAGGGAGATGGGTTTTTTTTTGGGGGGGGGTGTTTTTTATTTTATAAATCATTTTCTTGGGGGCTCTTACAGCTCTTTTCATAATCCATACATCAACTGTATTAAGCAAACTTGTACATATGTTATGATCATCATTTTCAAAACTTTTTCTTTCTACTTGAGCCCTTGGTATTAGCTCTTCTTTTTCCCTCCCTCCCTTGATAAATTACACATTATTATTTTCATATCTTACACCATCCAGTCTCCTTTCACCCACGTTTCTGTTGTTCATTCCCCTGGGCGGGGGTGGGGGTTGTGGGGGTAATACATTGATCATTGAGATCGGTTCCCTGTTTCTCCCCCGACCTTCTCCCTACCCTCATGGTATTGCTACTCCCATTATTGTTCCTGAGGGG